GTCGGTGTTACTATTGATATTATATCCTGTACTTTGTTTAGGCTTTTTTTTTTTTTAATTTAATTTGACTCTCGTTTTTGTCAATAGCTTTAAGAAGTAAATAAATAAATAAATAATAAGTTTATGGACAATTTTTAGGCATAAAGTTACAGGAGGCCATCAAATTTATTTACTAGTTAATATTAATTTGATTAGTATAGTGTTCTATTGATGTTTAATTTTCAACAAGGACCACATGGACCACAAGGAACCTGAGGGCCACATGGCCCAACTGGCCCACAATGCGTATTCCATGGCGTTGGTGCACAGGGATAACAAGGTCCGCACTCAGGTGATTCGTAAGGGCAGGGAGGTGAGCAAGGTCCACACGGTCCACAAGGACCACATGGTGCATTTCCCAATGGACCACAGCCCGTTCCACACGGACCACATGGTGCGGGTATGAAAGGACCAGAAGGCATTGTCAAACCACATGGTCCACAATTTGGCACAGCACAAGTTCCTCCACAGGGTCCACATGGTCCACATGGTCCACTACGCCCTGGTCCAGACGGAACACCACGCCCTGGTGCACAAGGTCCACAACGAGTTTCACACACTGGATATTGATTTGTAGAGAAGCAGGGAAGAGGGCAACAAGCTCCACCCGGAGCACATGGTCCAATAGGACAGGGTGGACAAGCGGCACTTGGCTTATAATTTATTGGTCCGTTCGGGTAGCAACAATATTCGCGTGGTGGTGGTATGTCAATAGTTTGTGGCTTTGGCTGGCATAGGATGGACTGGCAGACTTCTCTAGGTTCACAAACACGCTTCGGATAACAAACTACATAGGGGTCAGGAATCATAGATGGGTAATATATGACGCGCGGTTCGCGAACCATTTGTGACACCCAAATAAGCTTTGGAACTTTAATAACCCGAGTCGCGTCCACAACTTTTGGCACAGTAATTTGACGACAACGATTTACGACCATAGGCTCCGGCACAATTTTTTCAGTAAATACCACTCGTTTTTTACATATAAGTCTTGGAGGTTGTTGTACAGTGATGCACTTAGGAAATGGCGGTGGGATACGTGGGGCACATTGAGGTAAAGCTTCCAATTGCGCAGCATTGTAACATTTCGGCGAGCACTCAAAAGGTCCACAACAAGGATCGCAGGGGCTGCAGGGTCCACAAGGAGAACACATTTTGAATTAAAATAGAATAAAAACTTTTGAATTTTAATAAAAATTTTAAATTTTGTTGTTACAATTTGGACGCTGATCGAATTGATATTGAGTTAGTTCACTGTTCTTTCAGCACCAGGCTTGTTTGTTTTTTTTTTGACATATATTTCAAGGCCTAATCAGTTTTTATACCCTGAACCCATTGAAAATGGGAAAACAGGGTATAATGGTTTTGTT